TCGAATAGTCCTTCGTAGCACTCATCTTATGTTCCTTTATTCGTGCAAGGGTTTTGGCTACCGGCAGGTATGATAACTGCCTTGATATCACTTTTAACCTCTTTAGCGTTTTGGTTCTTTTTCATTAACCTATCGGTTTTTGGTTGCAAAATGTAATTGAGTTATCTAAAAACATAAAACACTAATGTAAGTCAACTAGCCTTTGGATAAAAAATAGATTTTTTTTGGTGGAAAAAAACACGTATAGGTGGAAGAAACGCTTTAAATGTACGTCTATTTCCCAGACTGATTACACAGCATTATTAAATTATGATATTCAAAAGTCAAAATTTGTTCGGTTCTGTTATTTTTCGCTAATATCCATTTGTTTGACTGAGCCACATAAAAGAAACTTTCGATTAGACCTGGGAATCTGTGCCAGTGCCAAATTTAACTCGCAAAATGTCTAGTGTGCAGGATTTGCCCTGTCCCGGGAAAAGTCCCGTCCAGAAAGAATCTCCTTTGACATTTGCTTCTAAGGTAAACAAAACCCAACATGGGGGTGTGCTCCCCTCCCTCGCCTATCTTGACAGTCATCAGGCAGTGCAGTTACCCTACCCTGGATTCCACATATATGTCCAACATTTGCGCCTAGGTTGTGCCAGCACCCTGGGTGAACAGTCCGGGGTCTCTGCATTCGCCCATGCGATTTGCGTATTCTGGCTGCATCTCGCCGACTATGTCACCCAGGCTGACATCGCCGCAACTTTGCTACCGAAATGACAGTCTGGCACACGCGCAGTCCCTGAAGTCACCGGTGCTGCAGGGCTCGCCGGTTACCTGCAACGTAACTCCCACGTCAAGACAGCCGCGTATCTCCCAGCCAGCACTGACTCCGTCGGCGTTCGTCTTCCGAAATTACCGCACTAATGACACAGACGGCTACCAGGTTATGAACGACGATGCCAAGATGTCGGGCCTGGAACACCATCTGCGTACCAGCCAAGCGGTTGCTTTTCCCACCTCAGCTGCGGGGTTTGTGCCTACGACGGTCATCTCGCCTACATCAAAGGGTAACAGAACGATATTCTCTGTGGAAATAATAACATTTTGTTTGTGTTAGATTCAAAAGCTTAACTCGTATTACCATTTGGAGTGACCTTCAGAATCGCAGAAGCTCACATAGGTGTTAATTCATCCGGCACAACAATTCCTCTTTCAATTAGTGTTAAGCGAAAACATGCTGATTCGCTGTAGGGATATGATCTGCAAAGTAAGGGACGATTGAAGCAAGGTTTTAAACTTCCACTAACAGGACTTCGTCGACAGATTAACCATAATATTTATTTTGACTACATACTGTCAATTCTTGTATGTTCTCGAAATCTATCTTCTCACGTCGTTTGAGCATTCGGAACTCATCGTGCAGGGGAAGTATCAGCAAGATTAGTTGATTTATCAGTGAATTATACTATAAGATACGGAAAAGGACTTAAAATTTGTAAAGCTACATCAACTCGTTGACTTTTTATGGTAAAAAATTATATTGTATACCTGAATTAACTTGCTCGCAAGTTTTCGTGGGATATTTTGAATTGGGTTATTAGGCAATGCACAGTGTGAGCGCATGCCCAATAAAAAATGCTAAACATGTTTTTGGTATCAGGACTAATAGTTTGATAAAACAGACTGCAGTGATATCCCAGACGACACTAACCAGTTTATGAGTTTTCTCTATATCCGACACAGTTAAATGGCTCTCACTTCAGTAACATTCATAGCCACAATATTATAGTGACAAATCGGTCAACTAATATTCTCTGTAGTTTCCAGTTGTTTTCCGTATCTCTTGGAATGCACGTTAGCTTTGCTGATTATTGATCCATTTTTCACCTCCAAGCATGCTTAGGAAATGAATTTTAGACATTCCTTACTTGCTTGGTCAAAACTTCATTAACTTTAGAGTTATCTCCTTTTTTCCCAACTGTGGAGAGACGTGCTTTAAAAAATTACAACTTTCATGTGGACGGGCGTTTTGTTTTAATCTATAATCACACTTCCGCATCATCCTGTTCGAGCGAACATTCCGAGGCCGCCTGAGAACAATTTACACGCAAACACAAATACAAACTTCAAAGGCCTGATTCTGTCCTTGTGCACATTTTATGGTTTTGATATACACGACTAAGAGCTATTAAGGCAGAATGAATAATAGAATAGGCGTTATTTACCTACTGTGATTTCACGAAAAAAGGATATAAAACATAAGGTTGCGTAAGATATTCAAAGTTTGTGCACTTCACAAAGAGCAATGTCAATATTTTCATCAGTTACAACTTGATTCTATAACTGCGCAAGCCTTACTTTAATTTAGAAAGTACGCATAACTGCAAACACTGTTCAGTTAACAAAGATACTTCGGGGCAGATATTACTTGGGTTAGGTTAGGCAAGTTCTTGAACTACAGATTACCAGCAAATTCTTACACAGAATTGGCCTCCAGTTTTAAATTTCAAGGACTGACACTAAGTGGTCTAACTGTGACCTACTAGGCATATGTCTGTCACCCATGTGGGTCAGCAGGCGAACACTGCTGCGATCGCGGAGCAAGCACTCTGATTGAAGTAGACAGTTGTATGGTACATGTCAGGAAACACCCGTTCTCCGTTAACTCCTATAGCTAATGCCGTGACTGTGATAAATTAAGTGTAGGCTGCCCGACACCGTCTAGTGCAGATGTCTCTGGTTTTTGTTTACCTTCTTTACCAACTTTTTTAGAATATGTGCATTAAAAACACAGTAAGGCAGAACTAGGATGCTATTTATAGCATCTGCAGAGAACTTGAGTACAATTTGCTTGGTTTGTTTCCTTAAGCAGGAGATTATATGATAAATGAATTTTTACTGTTGGAAAGCCGTTTGGTATGACAACAGTATATGCAGTTTTAAACGTCAACATCGGTTCGCAGTCAATAATTTTAATTTAGTAGTAGGGAATTTACATTAAGATGTACTCTTCTGGATATATCGTACACAAAGTTTTGGTCGCCAAGAAATGTTTATTTTCAAATCAAAAACGCACTGATATGATGCTCCTTCTGATAAATTTGGCATAGCTTCTTATTTTATATTTATTGCTCATGACCTAACAGCCTGTTTTAGCAGTCAGTAATTCGTGTGAAATATCAAACGAAAGCCCACCTCCGTAAATAAGCTCCGCTTTTTATAAGTAAGCATTCCAAAGAGTAAACTCACTAAGCAGAATACGATACAAAAACGCCTTGACTTGCCCTTATGCATGACTATTGTGCTCCAATGCTAAGTTCTTTAAATTTCAGGTGGGTGTCTTATTCGGCTGAACGAGATCTCGCCCGATAAGAGTGTCAAATATCACGAAGGTATGAGCAACTGTGATCCCCTGGGAAATGACTTCGGCACCGAAAGCTACCAACGTACCGCCAACGGACTGGCCTTTTTCTCCCCTACGTCTTCTGCCAATTATGTAACCCAGCTCGCCGCTGATAATGGCCATTCTCGAAGAAAGCCTTTTCATATCGGCGGTGTCGATGTTGTTGCGCCCATGACTTTTGAAAATCGCGAACTCTGCCAATTAAATGACGGAGAGAATGAGGGCATGAGGTCTGAGAATAATCGCAAAAACAGTTCCTCGCGGCCGCAAAGCAAAGGTGCCGTGCAGGCCGAACCGATGGCCGGACTGCCCCGATGTGTCCAGGCTTCGCCCAAACGCTCCCTTGCGGGCGCCAATCCCAAGATGCGTCCAGTCTTTGTCACTCCGCCTAGAATTCGTCATGTCCAGGCAGCCAGCACGAAAACCCTGTCACGCAGCCTCTCAACTGACTCCAGTCTGAACAACTTGCGATTTGGCACCCTAGAGCAAAACGACAACGGTCTGCACTATAACCCCATCCAGATTTCTCCCTTCGCCTCTCCAAAACATCCAAGAGTTTCGCATGGGTCTGAGAAATCAGCGGTAGGCACTGGTGTCAACTTCATCACCAAGGCCAAGACGCTAGGTCCAGAAGTTCGTGGAAGCTTTGTATGAGCATATAACTTGTTCATGCTTCTACCTCGCCCCCGCCCCCCTTACTTGCAGAGATTGCCTCCCATTCAGACAAAAACAAAGTTGTCAGTGTATATGTATATCCCGCCTTCCACTGGTCACAGGCGCTGACAAGAACCGAAGAAAACCGGGGTTTTCCGCGCTCCCAACTATGTCAGGGAATAGTTCAAAGCTTCATGTGGACAAAATCACAAACTGACATTCCAGAGCGAAGCAGTGGGGTGTGTATGTTGCAGAGACATGCAGATAAAGATGGAAACTGATTTTTATTGAGGAATTCTTCATTTTCTCCTTTTCGCACTTCATCACCGAGCATGAAATGTTACTCATAGTAAACATTTTGCCTCCCAGATTTTTGGACTTATGTGGTCTTTTTAAATATGACTTGCCCCAAAGCGTGTATCGGTGAAGTGCCAAAGAGTTGTTTTCTTAGAAAACATCTCAGTATGTATGTATTCAGGTAGGAAACCGCTCGAATGATCAACCCGGCCAATCAGTATTGCGCCGTTGCAATTAACCACTCACCAATTTTAGAGGGAAATATGAATGAAGGAGAAGGTCCGCGTTCTAGGTATTTGCATGGATAAAGAAGAAGGATTGTCGAGCACTGGACCGAGTTGTTTATTATCCTCAGTTTTTGGGCTCTTGCGGGAAACCATTCTCAGAGATAAAGGCATTCACGAAGAGCAAGCGACGGTTATAGGGAACAGGAACCAATTAACCATTATACGGGGGGAGGGAAGGGGGAATTCATTAATCAAATATTCTTCAACTTATATGTCATACCGATCATTCGCGATATTTAAAAGATTATTCTGACAAAGAACATGGGTAAAGATCTCTTAAATGGCCCCTTAAAAGGATATACGCAGAGGAACGCCTCTGTATATCATTCAAGAAAGAATAAGTATTTCGGTACTCCAACTTTAGCATTAGCTCTGCACAAGCCTAAAGCCCAAAGAAGAAGAGGATGAAGAAGGTACGAGGACATAAACCAAAGTATATTGAGACTGACTTTTCGGACATTTTCTCGGTTCCATCGTCAGAGTAACTAGGTGATGGTTTCTGTTTTCCGTGACTGTTTCAGTCTTGCAGCATGCCTAGTATTATATCCATGCTCGAAGCACGAACTTTAACCTGCCTGTTAGCTGCTGATGGACTGTGCAATTGACCGTTGGTGGGCTTGCGAGACCTTTTTCTCTTTGCGGCCGTCGTAATTGTCGGCAAGTCAACGTGCTTACTGGCCTGCTCCTCGTCGGCCGACGGACCGTTCAGTTGTTGCTGCCTGCATGAGTTGATGTCAATCTCGTGGGCGCAGCGGTGAAATAGTGTCCCACGCCGGTCACGTGGATCCTGGCCGGCTCCTCTCCTATTTTCTTCTGACCTCAGTTGAAGTCCACGTGTGAGGTTGCTATGCCGTCCTGTTAGCCTTGTTTCAACTGACTTGAGCAGTTTCCCTAGCACCTGGTAGGCGGGATGAACGTCCATGGCTCTGCTAGGTGTGCAGTCGAAGACTCGAACTGAAGCTGACTGAAACAGTCATGGCAAACATGGCTGACGCGGGAACCGAGCGAATTTCCGAAACATCAGTCTCAGTATACTTCGGTTCGTATCGCCGTACCCTCTTCTTCTTCTTCTTCTTCTTCTTCTTTGGGGGATGATGAAAACGATAATATATCTGGACCTCGAATCTTCTCGCATAAGCCTAAACCATAGAGTTTATCTTAACCCTAACGCTAGAGTAAGTACTAACCCAAATCTTAATGTCTTAATACTTACTTAACTGTATTGAAATACGGGCATCCCAAGATATTAAAGTATGAAGATAAAGGCCCCTTTGGGAAAACTGATCTTTATTGTGTGAATTTTCGAGGCAGGTTCCCCCGCTCCTCTTCAGACGTGAGAAAATGTGCAACAAACAATTACAATTTTAAACGTTTAGAAAATCAATATTAATCTGACGTGTACACCGATTGGCAGGACTATCCGTCTGCGCTAGTAGGCGTTAAGTGCATTTCGTAATTCTGCTGTGGTTGGTGGCGCGCATTGAATTTGGCTTTGAGGTAATTATAGCTGGCGTCTAAATCGATAGGTATGTTGATGCATGCTTCGTCAGAGTGCATTATTTCCAGGAGTTCATGGCCTTTTCTAGTTGGATAAGTGTCAACAATCCGTGTGTTCTCCCATGCGACTTTGTTGCCGGTTTCCAGTGAGGTCCACGTGCTTGTACACCCTAAGGCTATCTTGAAAGAAAAGGGGTTGTCTACAAGATCCCGTGTTCCAGTTGTG